ACGTGCTTGCTGAGCACCGGGGATGTTAATAACTGGCAAGGTACACTAATCTCTGATTGCAACATTTGGTTTACCTTAATCTGGAGGGACAGCTGTATTAAAGAGGGAATTATACTAATCAGTTCAAGGCCCTTGCATATAAAACTTCCCATTAGGCTTAAAGTACACCAGCTTATGCTCATTCTCTAGGAGCCTTACATCTGGTTCTGAATAAGGCTGCCTCTCATTTGCAAGGTACAAACTGAAAACAAGGGGGAGTGGGGCTGGCAGTTGCTGGAGGATGGGTGATAGAAGAGCATGCTGCTAATTCTTTGAAATTTTTAACAGCACAAAACTAGCTTGTAGGCATCTTAATACTAAAAGGGAGAAAAAAGAACATGTATTATCAACCCTAGGCCATTTTTTCCTGTTACCGGAGGTGACCAACATAAAATAAAATTGATGATGTCAGTCAAAAACAGCTAAGCACAAAGCTTGGCTTTGTTATCTTAAGTCAGAAGGTATGATAGGCCATGCCATATGGCTCTAATCCGCCTCTATCTCCCATCACCTAACAGGAAACCTTCATGTAGCATGACCTTATTTGGCTGGTTCCAGGTTAGGGCTGCCCAAAGGGGATTTTTCTGTTTCTGCTATATCCAAAGGTTTATGTTGATTTTTTTCTGAGCCCTGCAAACTATAAATCCAACTGATTACTCTGCACTCTTTTGCTTGACTGAGCCTTTACAATCAGACATCCCCGTTAACAATAAGCTCCTAATGAATCAAACATCTATGGCATTAGTTTCACCTAGCTGCCTCTTTCCCATGCACTGTGCCGCTTTGTCAGACCTGGTTTGATGAGAAAAGCTAGTGACACTTGCTGCACCTATTGATAAACAATTCAGTAATGAGGGGCATAACAAAAATTACCTAAAACAACCTGATGAAAAATGACAGGCAAGGCTTATCCCATCACTCAATAGCAAAGGGAACTCCGGTTTCATGTAGGGAAAATAACGGAGTGAAGCAAAATTTCCTTCTTTATCAAGGAGTCCACTTTTGATTGTGTTTATGAAGAGATTAAATTTTTCAGTGATATTTGGTTTTAGATTATGTGACTCTCAATAACATTAGGAACTCATAGAATTCAGGATGCTTGCTTTTCAACTTGCTGAGATTAACTCCCTGCTTTCTCTACTTAAACTTTCTGAGTAACCAAACTAATACCAAGATTTTCACTTTATTTCTTACATGTGACTTTAGTCATTGAGAAACTCAATAGTACAAGCACTAATAATTAGGGAAATATAGTGAAGGCACAAAGAGAGAAATTCAAAAATACAAGAAAAAATTTTTTAGCAAAGTAGAAAAAACTTCATGGACAAAATCAGATCCCTGAGAGGAATAACTTAACCTTACCATGGACATTAAAGTTCCTTTTAGTGGGGTCACCCGGAGGCCCTTTGCAACTTCGAAACAGACTTATGCCCAGGGGAGGCAAGGCTCTGGTGAAAGCTTGATTCAAAGACAGAAATGTGTGGGTTTTGCAATTGTGTGGCAGCATGTTGGGAGGGTTTCCATCAGCGCACAGATGCACTCGAAAATCAAATATGGACATGGGGAATGTTTTTTGGAGATGGAAAATGAGCGCTGATGACATGTTTATACTTCGCAGATGGATCCAGTACAGAACCATTTTTTGTAAAGAAACAATATCCACCATTTGCTAAAAAAAATTTTTTTGAGTAGCTACAAAATGGTGGCACAAAAAGTGAATATTCCCATCATACACACTCCACCTGTTCCTTGGTCTTACAACTGTCTTCCAGCCTGATGGTAACCATTGACTGTTGTAGTCTTATTTTTTCTCAAATGTTATCCAAAAGAATATGAAAAAAGAAACACAATACACAAAAGCAGTTGGAAGAACAAAATGATTTTAAATTAATTTGCTACATATGAAAAATTGGAAATGACAAATGTTATTAAGTAACAAATGATGAATTTAATTCTGAAAAAGTGTATTTTCTTATTGGCACATTTTCTCCTTAAATTTGATACCAAATCAATTCTAAATGTTTTCTATGTAGAGTCCAGAATGTCTCCTTTATTCCTTCTTTTGACCCAATTTAAGCCTATTAAATATCTGAATCTCTGGAAACTACAAACACTAATCATGGTATTAATGTTATATGATGCCCTATTGTTGATACATTATAATGATACATAGTTTATAATTATAAATATCAATTATGACAACCTGGAAAGTCACAATGTGTATAGGGTATGTGTTTATAAGAAGGTAATTTAAAGCATTTAACTGCCAAATAACACTATTGATAATACTGTAAACTTTGTTCAGTAGAAAATATCAGAATACATCAAATCAATTTATTGTCACCATCAGTAATATTGACTAGCTATTTCATGTGTGAATTATTGATAAAAGTGACCCACTTCAAAGATGTAGAGATTGTATAACAATAAAGAAGCTGTGATTATGAAATATGAAAGTTAATAGTTTAATAATTTAAAATAAATTCCAGACACATTTCATACTTGATAAGTATTTTTAAGTGTTTCAAATAATATATGACATATTAAAATTCATTTTTCTTAGTTTTGGTCAGTCAAGTTAACTTTATCTGATCTATATTCTTAACCTACTAGTCAATCTTATTTTTATTCTGAGAAATAGTCTGAGGTTAAGAATTAGAAATAGAATATGAATCCCCAAAATGGTCAAACAGCCTGGGACTGGATAACAAAATCTTGAGAATACACATAAATCGATGTGTTCTCTTGGCCCTGTAGTTTCTGGCAGTTCACCAAACCCCAATCTGCAGCTCCACATTGTATAATCCTAACACCTTGTTATCATCCTGGAACTAACAAAAGCCTGTGCACACTTCTCTATAAAAAGCAAGTGTTCACCTTATTGCTGGATTTTTGACACATGTGAATAAAACTGAAATTTATTTTATAAATTCTTAATTGTTTTGTGCCTACCCATCAAAAAACAGAAGTTTTGGTCAAAGGCTTAATGTGTTCTTAGAGTTCTGCAGAAAATGTTACCACTCTACCTAAGTTAAACTTATTAAAAGTTGAAACAGCCAAGAAAAATGAAAGCATATCCTTCCAATTAAAGCACTTATGTAGTTATGTTTTTAATCATCGTTCAACAAATCCATAGAACATAGAGCTGGGGAAAAAATTAGTGATCATTTGTTTCAATTCCTTTATTTAAAATACTAGGAAAATGAACTCTGAGAGGTAATAGGACTATTCAAGTTCACATAACTAAAGTGTGTGGGAAAACCATGTTTTCTGAGGCCTATTTTATTCCATCAGAGCATTATTTGCAAATCTTGTAATATTTAGTTATAATGGACTAATTTAATGTTATTAGTCACTTATTCTCTAAGTACTATATCATGTATCAGATTACATAATGATGGAGTGTTAGAGATTAGCACACTTAGAGAATAAGTGAATAATAAAATAAAAAATTAATAATATTCTACCAGTACCTAAATTGTTAGCTGGACATAAAGTCAGAACCCCTTTATAATCAGTAGACAGTTTGTCAAAGAGTAAGTTATGTAATAATATTGTAAAATCAGGTCCCGGGTAACAAGCAGAAGTTATAGAAGGGTGCTGTTAACCAAAGAACAACTCAAGTTATAGAGTCCCTGTACATTATTCTGGCCTCTGCCTAACTCTCTAGCAGAGAGATCAAGGACAAACACTCACCCTCTAATCCTAACCATGCCACTTCTCATTCATAAAACAAAGAACTGGAGACCTTTTCTACATCAAAGTCAATATTGATTTGCAAACTAGTCAAAAGGTCAGTTTTTCAAAGCTTGAATTTATGATGGTCCACTATTCTCACTATGATTCTAAATGGGGAGAATGGCTGATATTCTCAAGTCATCCTTACTTAACAGAATTGAAGCAATTTTTCTGAGCTTAAAGTTTAAAGGCTATCTCATGAGAATGTTGGGATGCATCCCAAAGGGCTCATGGGTATCTGAGTCAAAGCTGGTGGGGATCCATGGCTTGTCGCCTCTCTCCCTAACCTCTGGTAGTTATAAGTGATATACATGTAAAAAGGAAATGTTTCTCTCTCCTAGGACATGGGTTCATCAGACTGTCATCTGGGGCCCCAAGAATCAAAGAGTTCTGATTCAAATGGTGTTTGGTATTAGTGCTGAGAAGAAAATGCTTCCATTGGTGAAAGTTAAAAGCCACAAATGTTTGTCTATTGATGATACTGAACACTTGATCATTCACATACACTTCTTTATAATTTAGGACAGTTATCTAGCAGCTCTACGTTGGTTGAGTGCTATTACCCAAAGAATGGTTTAAATATAGACAAACTGAATACTGATTGGCTTTAGGCATTTTGGGAGAAGATGCCTTGGCCTTTCCTAAAATCTGTCTAAGAAATATTCTGGGTGGAGTCTGTTCCCACTGTCAGGGTTAGTTATGTAAGTGTGTATGTGTCTAATATTTCTAATTGGATCAGTTGCATAGTTTATGGTTGTTTATATATATTAACTGTAGTGATTCATGTATCCTAATTCTAATTTGGATTCAGGCTAAGCAACCCGCTTATATCTAAACACATAATAATTATATTATTTTCTGTTTTACATTTTAAGGTATCCATTGAAATTCAGCCAATAAAAATAATTTAATCTGTAGGCAATGAGAAGTTTAGTTCTCAGGTACAAAAAAACTTTAAAAAGTTTCTTTTAGACAATGATACACATGTTGAGGTTCCTTCCATTTGTATCAGTTCTGAAAATATTCCCATCTAACACATTGAATGGCAGAACATTAGATTCCCTTTTATAGTTTTATGATCCAATAGACAGAACTTACTTTGGGTTGTAACTGAGCTCCCATCACTGACCAGGAAAAGACTGAGTTACATCTAATGTTGTTATTTGTCTTTGGTGCGGCTAATCCTGCCAGTGATGGTGGCACTAGTGCTGTGGGTAGTTTCTACTTTCACTCCCGAGGGGCTACCCATTACTATAATTGCCAGAAGAAACCACCAATAAGCAGCAAAGCACAAAAAAATTGCATATGTTTATCCTTTTTATTGTTCAAAACTAACAACCTCATGAGGATTTTAGAAACTGTCAGATAGTTGAACTCTTAACTGCATGGAAATTTGCAAGTTGGGGATTCAATCAAAAGTGGTTTCATTGTAAAAGCAAGTTCAGGTGAGGTGAGCATGCATGAAGTACTCGGTAAACCATATGACTCGGTTTTGGTGGTAGGAACGGTGGCAGAACTCTCTTCTGACAACAGGAAAAGTAAACCTTGATGGAAGCAGAGTGCCCAGTCATAGAATGGGGAGATAACTGTGGTGCTGGGAGCAAAAGACCATCAGGAGCATCCTCACTGGGGTGTCCCTGAACACAGGGCCTGAAACAAGGAATTCAATGCATGTTGGTTATCCCTAGAAATAGGTGGCAGAGGATGGAAACAACGAGGCAGGCAGGATTGGGGCCAACCCACATAATGTGCCATCAGGGTACATAAGATGCCTGTTGTTGAAGATGGGCCCTCTGAGCAGCATGCCAAGTGCTTCTCAGAAATGCCCGTCTAAAAGATATGTGGCTGGAACATTTATCCACAGGCTCCTGTCTCCTATCAGGCTGCCCCTGAGGATGTCAACTCCCCCACATTTCTACAACAAGCTTCAGGAAGCATATTGAGCGGGCTTCTACAGTTCTGGAAAAGGCTCTAAGGCAGAAATTAGAAGACTCAAAAAGTGTTCCAGAGTCCTGGGCTTCCCAGGGACTGTCCACTCCTTGAAGCTGTGGATGAAATTAAAATGGGGCTTAGGGGACGGGAAACAGGGTTTTCAAATTGTTGTGCTACAGAGAGTCCTCATTGACAGCATCTGACAAATGCTGAGGAAAAAATTAAGGACAGTGAGAAATTGTCATGGACTGAATGTTTATGTCACTCAAAAACTCATATGTTGGAGTCGTCATACCAAATTTGATGGTATTAGGAGGTGACCTTTTGGGATGTGATTAGGTCACAAGTGTGGAGCCCTTATGAATGAGATTAGTGCCCTTATAAGGAGCGAAATGGACCAGAGTGCTCTGCTCTCCACTGTGTGAGAACACAGGAAGAAGACACCATCTGCAAACCTGGAAGGGGGCCCTCACCAGAATCTGACCATACTGGAGCTCTGATCTCAGACTTCCAGCCTCCAGAATGATGAGAAATGTCTGTTGGTTATAAACTGCACAGTTTATAGTACTTTGTTCCAGCAGCCTGAACTGACACGCTTCAAAGAGAAATCTGATTTTCTGTAAGTTTTAGCTCAGCTTCTTTCATGTCAACTAGATTATCATAAACAGAATAAAATAAAATAAAATATGCAAGGACATAGAATCTTTCCTTTCCCAGAAGGCCCTACCAAAATCAGAATTATAAGGGTTTTGAACTTATTACCTATGTAGTCACAACACCGCCCTGAAAGGAAAGATGTGGCTTCAGAAAGCTAATATATTCTCATTGCATCACTCACTTCTCTTTCTCTGTAACCTCCAAACACCTCTGTCAGAGCCTGGTCAACGTAGATGGGCTAGAACCCCTCAGCCACCTTCTCCGAGGTCTCAATTGCATTAGTCAGACAGGAATTATTATACTCGAAATGACAACTCACAGCTTGCCCCGGGAACATTATGGGGAAAGTTAAACTCAGCAATAATAAGTTAAAAGCCTTTGGTTTCTATCTGAAAGCTGCATGCTGGCTGCCCTACCTAATATGATAGTGAATGGAAACTGATCTATAAATGATAATTTATAATTTATAAATTACTAACCCATCCATTCAATGTGTCATTGCAATATCAGAGTATCACCTAGGTTTCCAAGACAAAATGCAAGCACTGCATGGGACATACTTATATTAAAAAAAGTTTTCACTATTTATCAGAAACTCAAATTTAACTAGAAATTCTTGATTTTCACTTGCTAAATCTGGCAACTTTTGTGCTGCCACCAGACAGGTATACAAAGAAAGCAGCTTATTAAAACAAGACAGTAAGTGTTCTGGAATGTTGTGCTAAAGGCTCTAGAACTTTTCAGTAGCAGCAATATTTCAATAAATTAACGTGTGAATTAACTAAGAATTTACATATTGTTTTCTTAGGCATATTTCTAAAAACTTTTCAAAGCATTTCAATAATTTATTTTGTCACAATATGGCAATTTATACATTGTAAAAACACTGTGATGATAAACAGAAAAACTCATTTCAAATCATTTCAACTGAGCTTGCAAAAGACCCTGATGTACTTATTAACAGTCAAATACACATAGTTTTAAATGTTTTCATATGATTCACCTACATAATCTCCAATAAATAAAATGTAAATCAACTTCTAAGTCCAAGAACAGTTCTTCAGAATTCTTCGATGAAGAGAAACATTGAAAAACCACAGGCAGAGTCACTTTGCTTGAGTTGCAAGAGTCTTGTTCCAGCTCACCTTCCAAAACAATTTCCTTCAAGTAGAAATCTTCTGACAGTTCCCGCTTAGAATGGCAAATAATCCCTGCCTTTTCATTCATTCACTCATTACCTCTCTAAAAAGAAAATGTGCAGTTATCAGAATTTTAATCCATTAGTGCTCCAAGAGTGTTTTAAATGCAAACCTGTAAGAAGAAAATAAAAACAAATCAAAGTTAATTGTGACTGGCTGTAACAAAATGCTTAAATCAATAGGAGGATAGCTCATCTGCTCATCATTTACGCACATTACCTGGGAGACCAATATCTCCTGCTGGGCCTGATTTTTGATACAGATATGCCTTTACTGAATTTTCCAGACACAGGGTGAGGGAGCCCAGACTGCCTTCTCTGACTGCCCCCTCATTATCCTCTTTGCTCCTAATAACCTATTCACTTATCCTTATTTTTTTCTGTGTTGTATATTCTTCTTTGCAGGGGTGAGTGGTCATGAACACAAGGGACGCCAGGGAGTTATAAAACTATTAAGAAGCACAGGGCCTTCCTGCAAAGCAGGCAGAAGGAAGCACCATATCGGTCTTTGAGTTACAGCCTCTTCTTGACCAGGCTCCTCAATGACTACTGTGACTTTCAAAACCCCCCAAAGTAGAATGCATCTCCTTTCACAAGTCATCCCTTGAAAAAAAATGTTGTTGTTAAGGTATTAGACACAAATTAAGAAAAATAAAATCCTCTAATTTGTAAGTATTGAGTGTGTCCAGGTGAAATACATGGGAAAACAGCAGTGGGCTGTTGGAGCCTCTGGTTTGTGAAAACCATGCACGCTTCTACCTTCTAGTCAATAAAGGCTGATGTTGTGTTAGGATGAAGACAAACTCAGTTCCAACCCTCTGCTGCCTCTCTACAAATGCCCGTCACCATGGCCAGCATCCCCAAAATGAAATGTGAAATGTATCTGCCATTGAAAGTTCATGTGCATCTCTGAACCAAGCACACACACCAAATTTGAATCTGTTTGGACAAGATGATTGTATGGATATATTACCTTATTTTTTTGACAATTATCCAAATGAAAATCTTGCAACCATATGTTGTTGTTGTTATTCATGATTTCCACAGTGGGGGGCGGGGCTCAAAAACTTTTGGAAAAACTAATTTTTCTTATTCTATTTCACAATTAAATGGATGATGTGTCACTGCTATCACCATATATTTACTGGCAATTATCCCCTTTTAGCTGTCTAGCTATGTTTTTTTTTTGACTTGTGTGTGTAGGTTACCTAATAGAAAAGTAAAGAGATGACCACATGTGTACAGCACATCATGCACTAAACCTACATTATATTTATAGCCAACTCACCCAAATAAGCTAAGTGTGTGAAAGTTAGAAATATAGTTCCCAGTTTAAAATGGGAGTATAAATAAACATGGAAAAAAGCCTAGAATACAGTAGGGGAAAACAGTGTAGAGCATAGGATGACTAGAGGAAAACTGTGATGCTGCAGGAAAGGGAAAAGGATGAGACACATCCAATAGCCAGCTTCAACGCTGTCAACTGGCTGTCGGTATGTGTTCCACCTACCACTTCCTCAAAGCATCCTTTCATTATTTTTTTTTAGGAAAGGACATTCATGACCAATAACAATGTTACAATGATAGTAAGCATAGGATTTAAGATACATTTTTTAAACCACCTTTAACAAATATTAAAAAACCACCAAGGGGTTGGGCAAGGGGGGTAGTGGGGAGGTAGATACCTAGCTCAAGGTTTTATTTAGGGATGGTTCCACTTTTTCACTCACTGCCTGCAAATCAGCATTTTTAGTGGACAAAGGACTCAGCAGCGGCCTTATGATTGCTTCTTTTCAAATGGTAATGGCTATCCTAACTCCTCTGCCAGGTTTTTCTTACCAGAGCACAAATTGCAGTTTACAAGGCTCTGAGGGGAAAAAAAAAACCTTAGCTGAATATCTTTTTTTATTCGACAAACTGACATGTAAATTACCCTTTAAGTGCTCCACTCTAGGGCTCTGATCATCTCCTAATTGTCACAGTCAATTGTAGCCAACAGTCTCTTCAATCCCAAGCGCTTTGACAACAAGCGCAAGGATCAAAGCAGAATCAGCTCCCTTCAATATCCTTCTGTTTAGGATGCTACAAAACGCCTGAAAAGGAAAGGTGTAAGGGCATTGCTGTAGAGGAAACTGAGAGTAGCAAGTATTACAATAGTCATTTTCTCCATCTCTAAAATTATGCTATATAAGCTGCCGTGATCTCTAAACACATGTACAGAGCAAACATATAAACCTCCCTGGCAATTAATATGTTCTTAAGATTATACTAATATGTGAGCTTAACAAACAACACTGTCCCCTCAGCTTAGGAAAACTATGACACAGTTATGGGATAGCAATCATTTCATAGCAGCTTAGCATCAAAAACTATTATCAAACATTCTGTATTAGAGCATTAATTCCAAAGCCTAGTTTGTATTACTTACTTTGGCGTCAGGATTCACTGCTCCCCCCAAACAAATAGCCCATTGAAACTTCTAGAGTTTCTTTTAATTAACCCAGAAATGTCCAACTGAAAATATGCCCCCAAATAAATAAGAAATGTAACAGGAAAACTAATTTCAGAAGACTGCTGCTTCCCTTACTAGAGGTAACTCCGTCTTATTGCTTTACTGGGAACAAACTAATTAAAAGTCATTACATGATCTAGAAACATGATTCCTAAATAAGATGTGCTTACTAGGATCATTACTTAACACAATATGACAATTCTTTCTAACTGAGGTAGTTATCGTACATCACTAACTTCTTCAAGAGATTATTTATGCTTTTCTAAATAGATAAAAATCCATTCTATTAAACATAACAATATAAATACTTTAATTTGGAGGAAAGAGAAACTTTACTAATAAATCTGTATAAAACAGTCACTTCAAAAATAACCTGAAAGTTGTCAGAAAAAAATGACAAATGGAAAGAAATCAAAGGTGCATGTGACACTCCCACTACAGCTTGTTTGTCCCCTTGTCCCCAGGTATCACACACAGGCAGTGTGTAAGGTCACACAGTGATTGACAGCCTTCCTATGCTGACGGAAAGAACTGAAAAAAAGAGGCACACACAGCCCAGGTTCCTTTCTCAGCTCGTTCATTCAAATTCCCCTCTCGGGGGTTTCCCATCCTCCCCTCAATTTCACCTTGAATTCTCAGGTTTGATTGAAGAGCTTCACAGAAGGGTCTATTACAGATTGAGGAATGATCCATTTCACATCTGAAGCTCCAAAGAGCTACTTGTGAGGAGTCTTTGAGTGCATTTATCTCACATGTGAAGCTTTCTGCAAAATCAATATGGGTATTTTTCAGTTTGACAAGTCAACATGAAATATCACATAATGATAGAAAAACAGAGTTGTACATTTGAACATACCCAATACAGTTATCTATGACAAAGCTTATAGTTATTACTCATGGATATCCTTGAGTATGCCTAATCTAAATGTGCCCTGATAGCTGGGCTGAAGTGCATGGAAAGAGAAACTGACTGTCACTGTATTTATGGCTCCTCTGTCCTAATTAGCCAGGTTTTGTGGTGCAGGGAGAGAATGGACAGGAATCACAGCCTTTGTTTCCAATCTGAGAGTGATATGAGAAGTGGGAAGAAAATAACCAGAGGTGAAAAAGAGGAAGGAAGCAGACAGAAGAACTCTAAAGAACTTCAAATTTAACTAATGGGCAATAAGTGAACAAAATGGTCACCCAGAGAACAGCAGCCATGTCTCAAATTGCCACAGCCAACACAGCAAGCACTAGCAGAATAATGGACACATTCGCTTCAGTGTCTTATGATCTTTGACTGAATTGCAGGTCCATTTTACCATCTGCAATGGCTTGAGGAAGATAATTTAACTTCTCTAAATCTCTGGAGGGTTTTTTTTTAAATCTTGAAGTGAGATTAATCCGATTTATCTTACAAGGTTTTGTGAAGATTAAACAAGATGATGCATACAGCACCTGGTACATGGAAAATATTCAATTATTGGTAAATATTGATGAAATTATTAGTTTCCTTAACCACAAGGTCCCTAGGGTTCTAATCCAGTGCCATTTCTACTGTTCCCTGGATCTTTTCCACATTCTTTGATGTCCCCAAGTTGTAGATGACAGTTTTTCTCAAAGAGTGTGCCCACCACATTAATTCTGTTGTAGGTCCTGGTAGAGGAGTGTCTTAGAAACACTCTCCCTCCAACCTGGAAGTCTGTCCCCATCAACCAAGAGAGGGAGACAGAATCAGATGGGGTTTTGAGAAAGGAAATGAATCCAGGTCTAGAGACCATATCAGCTGATCAATGCAAGCAATAAATGAGGTAAGAGTTGTAGCACATGGTTTTTATTCATGTGCCAATATTTTATAATTGAAACTGGGATTATCACTATATACTCCTCCATAGAAAGGACCTTAAAAAAATAACTCTCAAGAGTATATTGGCAGCCCAGATTCAGTTAAATAGGTCACTATAACAGCTTATTCTTTTTCCATTATATTTTCCTTTAGCCCATCACTACCTAAGTAATATTAATACCATCTGTATGTTATTATTTGTGCTTGGATCAACTAATTTGGAGATTGCTTAAGACATATTTTTTAATTTAGGTTAACTCTCCCCACCACTAAGAATAAGCCCAGAGTAGGTGAAACACATGAATTTAGAGACATGAAAACATATATTAATATACAAATTAAAAAGCATCATTATAAATGCCGTTGAAGCTTAAAAACTCTTACCCTATGTTTCAAAGTCAAATAACTAAATATAAATGTCTTTGTATTTAATTAATTCAACCAATATGTATCAAGAACTTACATGCAATATTATTCATTTTTAGCTACACTACTGTTCTCCATTATTAAAATTAAGTATAGTTTTCAATCCAAAACCAAATTAAAATATTTCATTAAATGCTGATATAGAATTACAAGAACAAATTGAAACAATTTCCTACTTAAAAAGGGTATTTCCTTGAAATTTTAAATTTATTTGTTTTGGACTCAAAATACATTTTTAGCAAGGAAACAAGTTTATAAATGATAATTAAGTTCCCAGATTGACACATAAAAACCTGTTTAATGTAAAATATACCTGAAACACACTAGAACCAAGCCTTAAGTGACTCTAGGTAGTAAGGTCTACAAATTTAACCCTGTAGAAGTTTAAAAGTATCATCAAACTTTGAGTTTCTGAATTTTGAGACATCAAGCAAGAGGTCTGATAGAAAGATGGACCATCCACATATTCATATCATCACTGCTCTCATCATGTCCACTGAGTCAGCACCATCATCATCATTATTGTGTCATATTTCATCCATCACATTAATGCATGGTAGCCGTGAAGATGATGGTAGCCAATAAGATGGCATCTCATCATCCTCCCTTTTTAAATAAGTGATGGAGAACTGTACCAAAGTGTGAGGCCCTCACTCTCTCTCGCACATAAACCTCTTCCATGGTGTCCATTTCCCAACCAGGACCCTCTGCACTTTTTAAATGCTTTCAAGTTAAGAAAATGAAATTTGTGAGGTATCACTATTCACATTTCAACATCACCTCCTCCTGAACTTTGCCTTGTACTGTGGTCACACCCGACCCTGTAAGCACAGCTTTGAACAGTCTAGAAAAGAGGATAGTTAAGGACCTGTTAATACATCCCTTTGGTGTGCTGGTCCTAATTGAGTCACAATGTTGAGGTAAATATTTTCCTTTGGAATATCTCAATAGATAGTAATTTCACAATATCAGTTATTTACATGTTTCAAAAGTTATCTTCCTTCATTATCAGGGTTTTCTGCCTTATTCCATTTCTGGTTTTGATTTTGATTGTAAACCTTCCTACTAAAAATATTCCTAGACCAAAACAGCTGATTTGGTCTCTAGCCCAGGATTCTTTTCCTACTCAAAACAAAGACAGGAGTGATACCTTCCTTTTAAGGACTGCAGGTGTGCCATTAAGTCCTATAGTTCAACTAAAAATAAAGATAAAAAATAAATAAACCCTCACAATGAACAATCATTCCTGCCAATTGTTCACACTTTGGAGTAAATACATAGTGCCCTACAGTTTGTAACTCACCTAAATGATCTCTGGCACCATCAAACTATAATCACAAAACATATACAAACCCCCCTTCTAAACTGAACTGGGGGGAGGAGGAAATGCAAAGTTACTGTGTAATGGGTACAGAGTTTCGATTTTGCAAGATGAAAAATTTCTGGAGCTCTGTTGCACAACAATGTGAATATTCTTAACACTACAGAACTGCACACTTAAAATGGGTAAGATGGTGAAGTTTATGTTATTCTTTACCACAATTCAAAAATTTTTAAATATAGAAGTAATGTAGTGAAACCGCTTGAAAAAACTAGTACATTAATTCAATAATAAATAAATAATTGTGGATCATCTTCAAGAAACTGAATTAAGGATACCCTAATTTCTAAGTGCTAAGCAGCCAGAATCTGAGATTTCAATCCTAATTTTTTTTCTATGAAAGTACTTCCTGCAAAATCATCTATAAAGTGTTTAAATCAAAATAGGCTAACATTTGACTTAGGAGGGATGACACATGAAAATGCTGGTCAAAACTAAATAAACCAATGAAACTCAGATTATAAAATTTCACTTCTCTTCTGAAAGATTCAAACAGTGAAACACAAGGAAACCACCACTCCCAGGTGCTCTGTTCTGAGTCTGTACCTACCACACATTGTCACCCTTTAGAATCTCAAAATTGCACTTAATTTTCAGTGGACCAAGCAAAAGTTGAGGCTCACTGAGACAAAAATACTGGAACCCAAACCAAACTAGTTTCCAGTGGTTTCTCTGTTTTTGTAACAGTAGTTCCACAGTATCGTAACACTCACTTTCTTCAGGGTTGATATTTTTAAACATTTCATATCTTTTTTTTAAAGTTCCATCACAAAATAAAGATTTTTTCAGGATTCAGGGTCATAATGCTCTGTCTGAACAAGTTGAGCAAATTTACATTTATCCCACACAAAGTGAGAAGGCAGAAGTAGACAAAATAAGACTCGAAATAATGAGGGAAGTTTATGGAAACCACTTAACTTAAAATCCCACCTCATATACACAGAATAAAATTAATCAAAAGCAAAAATAGATGGCTACCTTTTTACAGTAAGATCCCTGAGATAAAGTGACAGGATAAAAGCTAATAAAAATGGTGCGCTGATTTAAAAAACTTATTGGAATTTTTCTCTCAAAATGTACTCTATTTCAATCATTCAGTCATCTACTGGTTTATTTTTAACATTTAATCTTACATTCTTATAGTTTATTAGATTAGGGGTAGCAAATCCTTACAGTCCAGTGTGAATTTGAGGCTTGTAATAATATTAATAGTTTTAATAGTAATACTTACCTATGACTAACATATCTTGCCATTTACATTATCTCCTTAGAACAAACATATGAGGTGAGTACTGATATCCCTCTGAGACATGAGGAAACTGAGGCTTTGAGAGACTAAATAACTGGGCCAAAACCACACACTAAAAAATGCTGTGCTCTTGACCACAATCTCCCCTGCATCTTGATGAGCTGTTATGAGTGCAGCTTCATTTCAGTGTGGATTATTCTTCTACATCATCTGTTACCAACTCTTCCTTTATTTATCTTTTGATAAATGAGTTCCCTCTTGCTTTGGGGTCTCCTATTGCCCAATAGTTCCTGAATAGAAACCAACTCTTGCACACAGACATTTGTTCTGATTGATTCCACGACTGAACCAAATGTGGTCATTGGCTAACATGGCTGTCGAGCAGCAGCAGCAGGTCTCTTGGTTGCACTGCTACCTCTCCAAGTATTCACTGAGTAATCAGGTTACAAACCATTCACTACAGAGAGCAGCATCCATAGAGACATGTATTTGGAAATCTACTTGAGTTCAGGACTATAATCACTAGCAGTTCAGGGTATTCCAGAAGACACTGTTCCCCTTGCAAATACCATAATCAACACCAGTGAAGAACATCAAGACGAGCACAATGAGCCTTTTCATTTCCTCACTTCAGGTCTGGATTCCTTTCCCCAAGACCCTCTATGTCCAGGTGAATATATTCATGAGCAGAGTGAGAGCACACTCTCTCATCTTCCTCAGGGCCAGCCTTAGAATCCAAGAATAGTAAAGCTAGACTCCTAAGGACTCTACAGCCATGCCATAAAATTACATATGAGAAAAAATGTGGTAATAAGAATTAAAATGATTTTTTCATGGTCAAAAGCTAATGATTAAAAAAATACCCTAAACTCCAAGTTGA